AGCTGGTGTAACGGTTTCTTTAGGCTCTGGAATGTTCACAGAGGTTCGCACGGGCACAGAAAGAGCCCACATGTGTGAATTCACAGCTGACCACTCAAAGTTCCAGTTACAGATAAGTAACCTGTTCTTTCATACCATCAATTTGTACTACAAAGAATAAAAACAATCATAACATGTAAACAGTACTTACCGTGTTTTTGATGCGGTGCTGACTTCTTTCTACGAGTACATAATCAGCAAAACACATGCTATATACTTTTTCTGCACTCCAGGTTTATTTTAAAACAACAGATGGATGTTTCTAAAATTACACATCCCTGATTTTCTGTCATTTTAAAAATATTGCATAATTGCTTTTGCTTGCTTTCACATGAACAACAGACACACCAACTATACACTGAAAGTGGAATTTAGGAATCAGCTGCTAAAGTTCAGCTGTAGCCCAAAGTATTTAGGAGTGCCCCTTGACTGGTCCTTAACTTATAAGGAACATTTAAGAAAAACAATGGTTTTCTGCCCCTTCAAAATCCAGCTTGTACTTCTGGGAGTTCTCAGTCCACATAATGCTGAGGATTTGGGGCATAACCTTGCTAGCATGAGAAATGAGTGCAATTGTACGGTAGTTGGAGCATTCTTTGGCACTGCCCTTCTTTGGGATTGGGATGTAGACTGATCTTTTCCAATCCTCTGGCCACTGCTGAGTTTTCCAAACTTGCTGGCATATTGAGTGTAGCACCTTAATAGCATCCTCTTTTAAGATTTTAAATAGTTCAAATGGAATGCCAACCAGGGCACAGGTTGCTGTCCTCTGAAGATGCCGGCCACAGAGACTGGCGAAATGTCAGGAAGAACAACCTTCAGAACACGGCCAAAGAGCCCGAAAAACCCAGAACAACCATTAGATCCCGGCCGTGAAAGCCTTTGTAAATGTATTAATTCCAGCATGTTTGCCTCCAGTCAATTCAGTGGTAGCAGGTGAAGCAGAATGCTATGTTACCGGATGGGGTGATGCAAAGGGTGAGTTGCCATTCTGTGACTCCAAAGCTCCTGAGAAAATGTTCTGTGCTTCTTCCTGATCTTGCTCCATTATCTTTATCTCCACTTTTCTGATGTTTGTCTTATATATAAATTTGAAGGCTTGAGAAAGAGATATATTCAATTATTCCCCCCCCCAAAATAAAAAAATTGTAAAAGGTAGTCTAGATCTGGGGTCCCCAACCCCTGGTCCATGGCCCAGTACCAGTCCGTGGCCTTGGCAGGACCAGGCCATGGAGACAGATCTCCCGCCCCCCTGCACGTACGCCCCCCATGCATGCACACAAGTACGCATGCCCCCCACATGCACACATGGGTGCCTCGGCCACCCCCACACACATGTATGAGTGCCCCATCCACCCACATATGTGTGCCCCGTCCCCTGTGCACAGATGCCCCCCCAAGCAGTCCGCGGTTTGGAAAAGTTTGGGGACCACTGATCTCGAGGATACCCTCTTCTGTTCACTACTGCTCACAAAGTGACACAAAGCAAGGGAAAACCCCAGAAACTAGCTCCTTTTTTCAACAGTTAACCACTTCTCACCCAAACACAAAGCAATTCAGGGCTGTTTTTCAGTAAGTGTGAGTGGATTAGAAATCAGCAGTAAAAACAATAGTAGCTGCCAATACTTAAACATATATATCACACTCTTTGGGCATCATCCAGCAACTTTGTTTGGGTTGCCCCATGTAATTTCTCATTCAGGTGCAGACCTGCTTTGCTTTGACAGCACAGTCTTGGGCAACTCAGCTGTTGCAGCTTCTGTCCAAAGGCCTGCAGGGTTTGTACAATTGTGTGTTCACTGTCATCTCTGTGCTGGACTTCCCCTGATCCAGGTATTAATTTGACAGTGTTCAGAGAAGTTACTTTCTTGAATGGTAATATTGGGAACCACCCAATGGAATGTGAGATCGAAGTGGGCAGGGGGAGGAGAAGAGCAGCTTTTCAAAACTCTTGCACTCGGTCCTTATTTATCATTGTGTCTCTTAAGCTGCCAAAGCAAACTAGACTATCATTTAGTCTCATCTCATAAAATGGAGAAATATTATCTTTGAAAAGGATTCCGTGACATTTAATAATATTTACATAAAAGCTGAAACAAGGATAATATCAGGAGATAAATCTATTCCCACCATATTTACTGGTTCCTAATATTCCCAAACTGTTCACTGCGTTTGACTGTTGTTTTTTTCTCTTATTGGCAAAGGCACTAGCAGAGAAGGCGTACTTAAAAGAGGCTGGCTTCCCTGTAATTGGAAATAAAATTTGCAATCGGCCTGAGATTCTGAATGGCAGCATGAAAACCACAGAACTTTGTGCTGGTATTATTGATGGTGGCATTGAGTGTATGGTAAGCAACAAGGTGGTGGTTTGGCTTTACACATGACTGAAATGTAGATGTTGATGGTTCATTAGCTCAGTGGCTTAGGTATCTGGCTGTGCAACCAGAGATTGGGAGTTCCATCCCCTACTGTGCCTCCATAGAGAAGAGCCAGCCTGTGTAGCCATGGGCAAACTGTACAGCTCCACAGTGCCCCCTAGAAGAAGGGAATGGTAAAGCACATGTAAGTACTTCCTTCATAGGAGACTCTGGAAAGGAACACCATAAGTCCCAATGCACTTGATGGCACATAATTAGTGCTGGCTTCAGATGAGAGATGTTCCTCAAGACTTCAGCAGGGGAAGACAACAGAGAAAATCAACGAGCAAGACATGCACACACTCACCTGACTGGGGAGAAGGGAGATGTCAAAATTCATGGACTCTTTTTTACACTTTGTTTAAAAAAAACTGTTAAAAAGATTAAAGTGGATTTAAAAATGTGGGTTTAAAAATGTGAAATGTAACCATAACATGGATGTTTGAACAGCCATGTACTGCATACCTGTTAGAGGTTACTTCAGAACAGTTGCAGTAATTTCACCAGGGTGGCGAAATACAGTACATGTAAAAGGATACTGCCTTGACCAGACTAGCAGAGCATATTGCAGTCCAACAAGATTTGCAATCCTGGTGGAGCCCATAGAAACTGCACAGAGCAAAGCCCATAGAGAAATACTCTATCCCTAATTCAGAGCCTTTGTTTTCAAAACCATATCAACATTTTCTGCAGTACTAGTGAGAAATGTATTCTCTACTTTTTATTGTAAGGTTGTAAGCTCCTGTAATTTTTGGACTGAATCATGCTTTAAGTTCACTCAGCAGCCAGGGGGAAAGGGGGAGGAATGTCAAAGTTTCAAATTTTGTATGAACAAAGTGCTAAAATGGCTGGCAGTTGTACACCATGGTTTCAAGTAGAAATCGTTCCTCTCCCTGCCTGGGGACAGGGATTAAATCTGAGGCCTCCTGCATGAAAAGCAGATGGCATGCCACTGACCTCTGGACCTTGCCTTAAATTCATTGTGTGAGATCAGGCCAGAAATCATATGTAAATTTGTCTTTATTATTATATTCTAATGTTGATTCTTATTGCACTCCTTGTCCATTGTCTTCTCTCTCCCTTTTCTAGGGTGACAGCGGAGGGCCTCTGGTCTGTTCAGAACAAGGAAGATATGTCCTTCAGGGAGTCACCTCCTGGGGGCTTGGCTGTGCTCAGCCCATGAAGCCGGGGGTTTATGTCCGCGTTTCTAGGTTTATTCCATGGATTGAAAGAATAATGAAAGAAAATTAAATTGCCTCTGACTTAATGTTGAAAGCAAGACAGAAGAAAAGACAAAGAGAGAAAAGGAGTTTTAAATCTAGGGCCATAAAATAATTTAATGAATGTAAAATAAATGTTACATGCATCCTGGGGAAAAATTGATGGATTAGCTACTTTATATTTCCTTCCAACATGCTTTATACAGTGCAACGAAGTGCATTCAGGGCTTGGAAAAGTTACATTCTGGCCTCCCAACTTGCAAAATCTCCTAGTTTGTCCTTTGCCCCTCCCTACTGGTGCATCCTGGAGGTAGCAGTCCCCCAAAATAACTCCTTTAAGCTCTGTACTCACTTGCAAAGCGCTAAACCTTGTTGAATCGTAAGTCAAACTAGGAGTGATGTGGTAAGTCCGTGAATAAAATTGTTAGTATTTTGAAAAATTGACAGCACCCATAGAGGAAAATATTGTGTTGTCACAGGCATAGCTGGCTCCCTCTCTGCTTGGACCACAAGCCATTCCAGGTCATAGCAGTAGTTGAAGCAAATAGCAGCTACTATGTCTAGGGAAGGAGAAAGGTTATGATTGGGGAAAAAGGCCAAGAGAAAGGGTTAATTTTCCTCCCTGGAAATAAATCCTAATCATGATCTTTTTAAAAATCAAACCTAACTTGGCTCTTGACAGGATGCTGTCCTCTTGACTACTTGATTCAAAGCTATAGCAAATAAATAAATACGTAAATCGGTATTAATCTACTATGTTCTTGTGTTCTGATTCTCTAGAATTATATCTGAATTCTCAAGCATAATCCTGATTATAACTTGTTATCAAATAGTCTTCTGCTATCAAGATTACTCTGATTCAACATGCTTTCACACAATCTTGGGGTGCAGTTTGAAACATCCGAACAGCAGCAATGCTAACTGGCCATATAGGATAATTGCCATATGGAACCAAAACAGAGAGCCGTTTCAACCTAGATTTCGGGGTAAGGTGTCCTCTGTAGCTAACATCACATATTCATCACACTCTTGCCTCTGTTTAATTAACTTTTTTGTCTTGTTTCTCTAATTTTTGATGACCCGCTATTTTATAGGTTGATTGTTGGTTTGCTGCCATCTTATACTGCATCTTAGTATAGAATTTATTACATATTTTAGAACTAGTTGAGCTCACTCTTCAGTGGCTATTGGCAAGAACCCAGGGTAAAACAGGCAATATTAAATAAAAGAAAACGTTTATTTAGGAAAAATGCAAAATAAATTCTGACATCCAAGAAAATTAAAGAAAACAAAGTATATTGTCACTGAAGCATTCTTTTAACTTTAATAGCAAAGACTAAGGAACACATCATTCTCAGTTTCAGGTGATCACATTAACTCAGTCATTGGTTGCACTGGATGGGGATGTTCATTTTCATACACATCAGAAAAGGCACCCAGGCAGTTCTTGTGGCCTAAGGAACATGATCATCTGCCGATGCCTTTCTCCATTACCTGCATTTGGAAGCCTCCTTTTCTTTACAGATCCCCTTTGCATGAGTTAGGCAGTAGAACTCTGCCAGAGAAAGTGGAGGAAATATACCACAGCTGAGTACAATCGTGTTGATGGGAATCATCACATTTAACAAATGAACATCTCTAGAAAACTAAAACTGTTGGTTTTCAGCATGTCAGGAATCCCCTGGGACCATCCAGAATCTGCCTTTCCCTTCTAAGTAGTAGACAGAGTCTTTCAGCTAAAGAAGACGCAAGAGTAAACTCAGCACTGCGTTTAATGTGCAGATACTATCACCTGGGAAGGTACAGTTATTTGGATAGCAGCAGGTGTAGAGTGAACGTTTCCTCCATTGCCCTGGTATTGATGAAAGTTCCTCCTCTGAAGCTGGTGACACTTCTGGGGGACCTCTGCCCAAAATAAATATCACCCTCGTAACTGCAGCAACAGAGGGGATAGCTCATCCCTTCTTGAGACTAGCTGTGATCCTGCTAAGGATTATTCTGTTCCACTGGCATGCTGAAGACAAGCTTGGAACATTTTTTTAAAAAGTTTTTAGTTATACTTATGTACAATGAGAAGTAATTGATTACTGCCATATAGATTATTTTCATAAAACCATCGCTTTCCGATTTCTTATAAGTCAAAAAAAGAGAGATAGGAGCAGGCTCCAAGTCAACCATTTTGATCTCCCATCCATCTCGCTGCTCCCTCCACCTCCAGAACACAGCATGAGGCATGAACCAGTATTTGAGTCACACAATATTTTTCCTTCACCTTTCAGTAATGCCACATGCCTGTAACTGAAAAGTAACTAAAATCTTACCACAACACAGGAGGGAAATTACGTTATATTACATTACGGTGGTTACATTTTATTATTGGAACAAGGAGTTAGTTACAGGTAGCTAGTTGTAATTAATAACTAGTTCTTTCTAAGGTCTGAATTGGGAACAGAAACATTTCTAACCTCGCACCTAATTTGGTCCTTTTTCTTCTGGCAACAAGAGGTTGAACATTCAATGCTTAGCAAATGGAATTCGCAAGCTCTACTGCTCCTTCTCTGTAAGGGAGACACTGAAATTGCCTCTCAATGCCGTTCAGTGAACATCTTCAAAAACAACTAACTTCCTCTACAGGCCACAAAAAAGAGCTCTGGAAGGAAACAACACTCATAAACCCTATTACTGCACCAGCCAAATGACTGGCACAAGGAATAAAACAAGCAGTGTGTATGTACAAGAAGATGGTGTAAAGCAGACAAACAATCAAACCTTTGACTTTTTAAAAAAAAGAAACTGTAAGCAGGGCAAAACCTCTGTCTCACTAGAGCTAGTTGGTCTCTGATTTTAATGCCGTTGTTATTGTGGATAGGTGTGGCTTGCAGATATAATGCTGGGTTCAAATCTCCACCAGTGTAACCTTTGATAACCAGTACTTTCTTAGTTTGAGATTTGCTGTGAAGAGAGAAAGGGAATGATCCCAGGCTTTCTGTCCAAAGTAGCTAGGAGGAAGGGCAATGAACCTGTAGTAGTGTAATCGATACATGTTCACTCTTCTTCATGCTTTTGAAATGTGAAGTATTATTTTTCCATTCTGATTCAGTTCCACCAAATCCTATGAATGGATTCAGAATTTTCTGGGTTTATCCCAATGTTGTGGATTGTGTCACAAGCTTCTGCGTGCAATACGACAACAGTTTGGAACAACTGGTCTCACAAATGAAAGGAGATGGAACAGTAATCAGATGTAGGCATGTACAAAGAACCAAGATCCTAGAGAAAATGAATTATTTAATGGATGTGATTACTCTTTTATAAGAGCTGCATATAACAGTTCCCTACCTGGAAACAATAAGCCCACAAAAATACATTTATATTTCCGAAGTCATAGAAAAATAATACTATGTTTACTGTTTATGTTTTTATATTTAAAAGAAGTGACTTTAGAAATATTTATTTTAACACAAACTTTCTCCATCTTCTCCAAACAACATGATGATGGCATGCAATGGACGTTGCACCGGAAACCAGGTGACTGATGACATTTAGCAAAACATCAGACGTATGTACTGGAATTTGGATGTTTGTTTTTTCCACAACTTCTTCTACTGTTAGGAGGAAAAAAGAAATAAAAAGACTTGCATTAATGGTGGAACAAAGTTTGGACTAAGGAGAAATGTGTGCTTATTCATACCAGGAGACTTGAGACTAAGACCCAAACTACTCATTACATCAAATCCTTGTTCATATTTGTGCCCATAGATCACAGTCACAGGAAGTCTTGATCCAGACTTATCCATGGTGCAAAGGTAGAGGGAACTTTTCTATTGTGATGTTGTACCAATAAAAATGGCTGTTCCTGAGAGGCCCATGAATGCTGTTTGCCAAAAGGTGGACACTGCAATTGGAATAAACTGATATAACGGTAAGAGTGATCGAGTAGGATCAGGGATACTCAAGTTCACCCTCAGCCAGGAGGCATCCTGGGTGACCTTGAAAGGATCACAATAATTTAGCCTAACCTACCTCACAGGATTGCTGTGAGAATGGGATAAAGGAGGGGACTAGATATGCTATCATGAGTTCCCTAGAAGGAAGATGGAATATAAATATTATGTCATCAAGAAGTGGGACCAATAACAGCTTTCCTTCTGTGGTGAATAGTAATTGGGGATGGAACTGATTTTTCACGTCTGTCCCATGGGAGAAAGGGATTGATCCTTTTGCCAAGCATGCCATAGTCCCAGTCTAGGTTGGGGCTCCATACAGTTGCTGCCCAAATAAGTAAATAAATAAATAAAAATAAAAATAGCACATACGTGTGGACACATATACACAAAAAAAAATCCCCCACACATTTAAATATGTTGAGCGAATATCTGGAACTGTAGCTGTCCTGCAGTTTGAATGTTCAAGAAAGCAGATGAGAGTATATAACAGTACATAGCAGGCTGGACAGCTCAGTGGGTTGGAGCATCTGGCTGTGGATTCGGCAGTTGGGCATTCAACTCTCCACGGTGCCTTGTGAGAGAAAAGCCATCCTGTGAGACTTTCAACTAGACAGCACATTGTTATTATTACAGATGGTACCTTGCAAGTTGTTCCACATCCTCTACTGTTTCTGGTAATGGCACCCCTTTTGTTTCAGGTAGAAGTATGACTAGAATCCCGGAGAGAACAGATAGTATACCTAGGACAAAGGGAAGTAAGGAAAAATATGATGGGCTGCAAACAGTAAAAAAAGCTAATGTAACCCTCCATTTCTAGACAGTTTAGATGTATGTGGGAAGGCAGAGACAGAGCAAGAGCCAAGCGAGGAAGTGAAAGCATAATAGCTCACCTCATGTGCCACTACATGGAGGTAGCAGGGGCCAGAAGTGAGTCCTGAATTTGGAACATAATTTGTTCAACTACACCAGCGTTAGGTCTTAAGTTTGCTTTTTCTTTTTTCTTTTTTATTTTAGGTCCGATGCCTTGCTTCTACAAAGGTGGTATTCTGCTGTTCTGGCAGAGGTAGTGCAGTAGAAGTAAGGAAGAGGCGAGGCAGACCCCTTCTTCAAGTCCCACAGATAGTATTATACAGGCTTTCTTGGCTCAAAATAATCACCAACACCAGTTTACTTTAAATTTTCTAGGCTAGTAATAAGGAAGGCTGGCCTCTGGGGGCCTCTGACAAAATTCCTGTGTATCAGACCTGAATTAGCACATAAGGATCTATCAATAGGGTAATGTTTCCTGAAATGACAACATTGATCCTTTTAATACCCAGAAGTGTTATCAGGAGGTGACTCATGATAACTTCAGGGACCAGACTATGCATTGTGATTATAGTCAAAGTACCTTTGGAAGAAGATGATTTTCATAGAGAAACAATGGAGCAAGGAACATAATCTTCTCCCATCCTGCTATTTTCTTCAGCAGCTTATTCCCCAAGCAGTGGTTCTGCCCCCCCAGGGCAGAGTCCCAGATGGATGTATACCATTGTGAACACAATTTAGAATCGCATCAGAGAGGGACTGTAGCAGTGCAGGCCTGCCTCGCTAAACACGTTGAAAAGCATGTCAGCAGTGAGTTAGACGTGGGCAACTGGAGAGATGGGGGCTTGGGGGAGGCAGGGGTCAACTTGTCAAAGTCACAAGGAGGAGGGCTCCCAAGGAGATACAGCCTTATCTCGTAACTGTGACCAGTAACTGTTTTGTAATTGGCCCCAGGAATCCAGCTCTTCCTAATTGAGGGGGCCTATGAAGAAGCAATATTTGGGTAAGCTGTTGTCCCTTGGCCTCTGGGTATGTGAAGCATTTCTGTCACATAGAGTCATCTTGGTGATTCTTGTGAAGTGGGAAAACTCACATCATGCACACTGAGTATTAGGTTAATTAAATTGCCTCTCCAAAAATTGGGTGTGTGTGTGTTTATCGTGACACCTTTGATTCATGAAAGATCACAATGAGAGAAATCTATTCATCTTTGAGATGTTGCAGCATTTTGGCCTTTGGGACTCCCCCCCCCCAAAAAAAAGGTTCTTTGCTGTAACACCTTATTGGAGGTTATTTTGTTGTTCTGTTCCACAGGCGCTCCGGCCAGGTGGACTTGGCTGTCCTATATAAGTCTGGGATTCACCCGCCCAGGTCCGGAAAGGAATAGGATGGTTTTCTGCCTGGCTTGTTCAATGTGGGAAAAAAGTGGGGGAAGGAATAGTAACACTTGGAATGTGGCAGAGTCTCCAATCTCGGAGGTCATTTCAGGGATCTGAGAGAGCTGCAGTGGAGAAGTTAAACACCCTCCTCCCACCATTGAAAATTCAATTTTCAAGAAATGGTCAAAATAACATCTTACAATAGACAAGCAGAGGAAGCTCTGACCAGATATCTGCCAGCCGGTAGAGTAGAAATGGGGCTGCAATGCCTCCTATATCACACAAACCTGAACACAGGGAGACACCAAAGTTTCTATAAGGAAAAGAAAAGAGACCATGTTAATCAGGATATATACACTACCAACTGAGCCCTTTTCTGCATTACGTCCATTCCATTCTGACTTGTTTTATTTAACTGATATTCAGCATCAGCCTTAAGTGAAGACAAGTCCCTGATGCATACCCTATCAATATATCCTTGTGTACGTTATTTTATTTTCATTTTTACTTTTAAAAAAAGGATTAGGGGTTCTAGAGCAAGGGTGGGGAATCTTTGGCTCCCTAACTTCTGCAATCCCTTCCCATTAGTCATGCTGAGTAAGACTGATGGGAACTACAAGTGAAACATCTAAAAGCTCCGTACACCTTTGCTCTTGATCTAGAGAGGGTTCCTTCAAGTCCCCAAGGGCAGATACAATGGCTGTTCAGCTTAGCTGCTCTTACTCTCCACAGATTTATCTAGATTTGCCCCCTCCACCCTTAACCTCTCTGTGTTGATAGGGAAGGTCTGCAAAGAGGCTGCCCCAATATTCAGTTGAATAGGGTTACACGGCTCCCACTAGGATCATGTTGGATGGAGGATTCTAGCCATTGCAGTCCCCCCCCCAAAAAAGGGGGGGACAAGTGTCTTCCAAGCTCTGGGCTTTATGTATCTTTGTACACCTGGTTCAAAATTTAACAAGAAAGTCTGACTTTCTGATAGTGTCACAGAGCCGACTGTTGTTAAAGGCCAAGGTGATGTGATGGCATTCACCACCACTGCCACCTTAATTATTCTAACCTCCCCTGCCAGCTTTAAAACTAACAACTAGTCATTGGTCATGTAGGCTGGTGGTGATGGGAGATGAAGTTCAATACATTTGGACAGCGGTAGGTTGGGGAAGGCTTCCCTTAGGCTTCAGTCTTACATACTCATACTTAGGATTAATGTATCACCAAACTCAAGGGACATGACATCTAAATACATATATACATAGCACTGGAGTGTAAGTGAGTGTGTTGCATTATTGTTTCATACAATTTGTCACTGTTTAAATCAGTGTTTCCCAACCTTGGCTCACCGGATGTTCTTGGACTATAACTCCCAGAAATCCTGGCCAGCCCAGCTAGTGCTGAAAGCTTCTGGGAATTTTAATCCAACCACTGTTTTAGATTCTTCAGCCCTGAACAATCTCTGTGTGAAATGTCCTTCTGTATTTTCCCCCCAAACAAGCTTAGTCTGTTTTACCTCAGTACTGTAGGATACAATTCAGAATTCACCAGGTACACAAGTTCAAAAGTTATGGTGATCCCCAGTCTTGCCAAGATGGCTACCGATGTAATTAACCATGGCACATCTGTTGAGATACATGAAATGAAATAAGAAATAAATGAATTTAAACATGGGAATCAAGGGTCAAGATTGTATTCCTGCTTTATTTTACTGTGATTCTGTGCTCTCTAATCCATGTTCTTTGATTAAAGTTTCTTCAGAGATAAATAAGCAAAGAAGATGAATAACACTAAGTTCTCCGCAACTAAGGCTTGCTAAAGGCAAAGTGTAGATCTAAAAGGATATTATTTATTCATTTTTTAAGTTTTATTGTTGTCTGCCCTAGGCCTAAAGGGAAGGGTGGGTTAGGTTATCAGTGCAAATCAATAATAAGAAATCAATCAGAAATAGTCTCTAGATACAGAAATCTCAGCATAAAATAATGTCCTATTTTTATGACATTTGATTGTATTTTAAAAAGCAATCCAATTATAAACAATGAAAAAACTCATTGGAGAAAAAATGTTTCTAGAAACCAGCTTGAATAGGAAGGGCTCTGCTTGCAAGCAGGAAAACAATACATCTTGGATATATCTTTTAGAACTGCTCAAATTACAAGGTATAATATATCATATTCCTCCTAAAAGTGTCTCTACTTGGGATACATGAAGACAGAGGGGTTCCTAGTATCTGTACTACCAATTAAAATGTAACAAACAGCTATTATACCTTTCCCATTGAAAAGGTTTTTGTGCATAATAGCCTGTACCTATTGTAAAATTCTGTATTTGGAGTTTTCTGCACCCTAAAAGGCTTATTCGCAGCTCCCTGCATGTTCGAAAAGCTCATATTTTGGGTGAAGACATTGTTGCAGTCTTGCTTCAGCCGTGCAAGGAATAACAACTCAACAGAATTCTTAAGAATCCTTCGTACATCTAATTCATATTGGTGGACATGACAATTGCTGTGCTGTCTAAGCTCACATTTTAAAGATGGACCAAACAGTTTTAACAAGTAGACATATATATTGAGAAATGAAGCTTATTTGAAACTCACTGGAATAGAGAGCCTTTGCTTCAAACAGACAACTCAAAAGATGTATCATAGAATCATAGAATAATGGAAAAGGGCCATGAAGCCATTGAGTCCAAACCCTCCGCTTAATGCAGGAACCATCATGAGGAAGGCAGGAAGATCACAACATCTGTAGTTCGGTCTTTAAGACTAGAGGAAATATTATGCAGACACCACCAAAACTGGTGAGACTTATAACTGGATAACTTGTACATTGCACTGTTAGTAATGTTTGTTCTACTGGTATAAGAAATAAATCTCAGATTGCTCCCACCTTCAGTTCTACATGAACAATCACATTTTTCTTTGTTTCTGTCCTCTGTCTTGCAAGGGGGCTTATATATTCCAAAAATATTAGAGAAAAATCCAAATAACTGCTTTAAGATGGTTGTGAAGTGATCGATTCAAAAACAGGTTTGGAGTTTGTACTGTCACAGTAAGATTTATCAAACAGGTCTCTAGTTGTACCTGCTGTTCCCATGTCATCTCATGAAGGAAGTAACAGATTGACTTAAAACAATGGTTTCCTATACCCCAAACACTCTTCTCTCCATGAGATATTTTGATGACATCATTATTATCATGCTTTGATAACTTTTCAGCCACCATCAGCTGAAGCCTGGACCAGTTCATGCAAAAAGTTCACTTTCTAGACAACAGAGTACAATTATTGCCAAGGGAACTCACATGGAAATAAACATAATATTCCACATATTATAAACCTACTGTCTGCCATATTACTTACATGCTTCCAGTTTCACTCCCAAAATATCACAGTATCCTTTGTGTGATGCCACGCTCTGTGGTGCAACTTGAGATGGGCATGAACTACCAAACTGGTGGATCATGCTGGTTTGTTTTTTGACTAAACAGCTGTTTGGCATGTCCCAGCCCTGCCCCCTCCAGTGGGCACCCGCTCAGAGGCAGAGCTCCAGTTTCCCCTGGGAGTTGGCTCTGACTTGGCAGCCACTGGAGGGGGGGGCTAGGAAGCACCAAACATCTGTTTGGTCAAAAGACAAATCAGCATGAACCACCTGTTCAGTGGTACATGCCCATCTCTAGATGCAACCATATCAGAGACTCACAATCTAAAGGTTTAAATCAGGCATTATTTTGATTGCAATATCTATCCAACAAAGCGGAAGAAAATATATCAATAGGCCCAGACGGCTGCCCAAGAACAATCTGCAACAGCAAAGACCCAGAAAATAAGAGAACAGCTCCCACCCACACATACTGAGAACAGTTTATGGTCCATCTGGATGGTGATAACACTTCCCATGACCAAGTCTTGCATATTTTGCCTGTACTTGCTTTCAGACGGCTGCCAAACCTTACTGGTAAGAAGAGATCACATAACAGAAGTATAAACACAGAAACCAGACTTCGCGGCAGATCCAGATGCCATTTCTCCCTGCCTATCTATTCTGGCCACATTCTTTCATTCTACATTGGACCTGGGATAGGGACTCAAGTTGGGAGACTTGCTGTCAAGTTGGACTTAAGTTGCACCAGTGACTTTACTCTGACTCATCTTGGGCTTTTATTTTTCAATGACTCAAGACTCAACTCGTGACCCAGAACCTACCCACCCCTCACTTTTTTTCTGAGGGGAGAAAAGCTTGTTTTTAATAGGAACTCAGACATAGGTCTTGGGACTTGGGTGCCAAAGACTCGGAATCAAGCTTGTTACCAAAGACTCAGACTTGGGACTTGAGACCAAAGACTTGCAAACATCACTGCATGGGACTTATTGGGCAGTCCTACACTTAGTGCAATGCTCAAGACAAGGAAAGAGAAGAGGAAGAGGAAAGTGGAGAAACATTCAAGTCTCCCAGGGCACCTCCCGCTGATTTCTAGAAGACCATTTGGGAACAAATGGACTTTGAAGACAGATTTCAAACTGAAAGAGCAGAAGATTTCATTAAGATGTTAAGCTCTACATCCTATGGCATGAATGGAGAGAATAGCTTTTTATCACTCTGCGCTACAGAGTGATAAAAGTCAGAATGGCCACTGTTGAGATAGTTATCATTACGTTTCATCTTTCCATGTTTCAATTTTCTCTGTTTTCACAGTTTAAAGTTTTCTCCACTGACCACAGGGCTGTACTCCTGCCAGCTGAATATTTCACGTCTGATATAATGGACCAGTCCACAACAGCGTATGTTACAATAAATAGGCCAAATATATAAAGACGTCTCAAGACTTATTGTTATAACAGACTCAGGTACCGTATCACATTTAATTTGGTGTCTTCCTGTTAACCTATCCCCAGAAAGGAGGCAGTATTAACTTGAGCATTCAGGAAAGTTGCAAAAATTATGATAGAATTTGTTCATTTTGAATCAGTTCTGAATACAAATATAGGAGTTTGATCACAGCACTCACTGGCATTATGGGAAGATTTGTTGGGCGGTGGGATTTGATGGTGAGGTCAAATCATAAGTGCTGTCCTTTGGTCCAGTGTTGAAAGTCTGAAGTCTACAGAAACATGATAAGACAAACCATTTGCCAGTTGTTTGCTGAAGTAGTTAGGGCAATGGATTGTGCAGAATGTTCCTCAAGTTGCTATGGGAATGTGAGGAGGAAGTAGCAGGAACATCAACAGTTAGGGCAATGGATTGTGCAGAACGTTCCTCAAGTTGCTATGGGAACAGAAAAGTTTGCATAACCACTGCAAAAAGAACAGACATACGTAGCTAGCATAATAAATAAAAATTCAGGAGCTAACATTTTCGTTCTATTGTTGCTTGCAATTTGTCTCAATGCTTTGGAACAACCAAATTGCACAGCTTGATCCCCTGACCTCTTTCCTGGTACATAGTGAAGGTGCAAAGAGATTTTGCGAAGAATGTTTAATGTTTGCCCAAACACTACCATCACCATCCTTAAAATTAGCTGCCCTTCCACAGAAAGGAAATTGGTTCACTGCACAGGCAAAGAGAACTCTCACCCTTGCATTAAACTGGTGCATGTGTTTCTCCTTCTTCCCACAGGGAATAAAGTAACAAATGACCAGAAAATGAGTTGTATTTACATTTGGGCGTGTGCAGAGATTTAGCTGTCCTTTCATCCATATGACACTTCCACCAACCTCAAAAATAAACAAACAAGCGGTACACAGGCCTGGGTGACCCTGCTGACTGGGGTTAGTCAGTCAGGGAAGAGAGCCTCCAAAATCAGGTGGAAACAACTACAGGAATTAGAGCTCTTCTATCTGTGGAACAGAGACCTTTGGTCCCACCCAGTGTTAGTTAACACTGGCTTGGGATTTTCTTTGACTCTTCTCCAACATCCTTCTTCTCATCCAATAACCCTTTGGATAGTTACATTAGGCTCACATGCTTCAATTAAACATCATTTTTTTGGTGTTGCTGTTGTTTTGCTTTTGCATTAACTGTTTTCCTTTTGCAAACTGCTGTTGATGTTAATCTTGCATGAGTTTGCTACTCAGTGCCAAAGTCCTGACCTTGTGGTCAAAATGATGAATTCAAGATGCTACTTGGTATGTTGTTGACCTCATTTAACCTTTCAACAATGGCGCAACTGCTGGGCCAGTAGACAGGTGCTTTCCAGTGATGTACTGCTTTAATCTACAATGCTGAGAAAACATCATATTACTAATGACAAGCAACTTTCCACCTTCACCATATTCTCCAGTGCCTATACAGTAGGACTTCCATATCCACGGGGGATCAGTTCCAAGCCCCCCCCCATAGGTACAGAAAACCATAGGTAAGAGTGAACTCTATATATAGTACACTTGTAGTCCCAGGGCTCTCTCTGTATCCATAAGGACAACAACCGAGGGTAGCTGGCAAAGACGAAACTCTGCAAGGTAGTAGGAGTTCTCTCAAGATGGTGAGAGACCAGGAGAAATTGGGTTACCTACATAGTGTAGTCTCTGGCTCCCTCTAGTGGCCTGTTCTGGTAATTGCTTCATGTAAAGCAGGGGTCCCCAACCCCTAGTCTGCGGCCCGGTGCCGGTCCGTGGGCTTCCCAGGACTGGTTTGTGGAGATGGATCTCCGCCCCCCACATCTACAACATACAAAGCAAAGGTGGGCAGAATAATATTTTGAGACCACAGATATGTGAAACCATGAATACCAAACCCATGGATATGGATGTCCTACTGTATAATATCTGAGAGTCCTTAGGCAAGGGATGCAGATGAGTCAATATGATTGTAATCCAGATAAAACTGAAGAAACTATTAATCAGGATTATGACTTCACTAAATAACTTCCCCCAGTGTTCCAGTGGATGATGAATGACCCTATGATCAGCTGAAAATATGCTTTTGATGTTATAGCTTATACATCACATAAGAGCTGTGAGCCATGTGTTTTCTCTTGGCAGCTGCATAGAACTGCTCAACTCCATCTCTGGGGTCATTTTCTGGTGGTATGGCAAGATCTTCTTTCAGCAAGCTTCTGAGCACATTTGGGGACGATTTAACTTTTTACAAAATATGGATATCAAATAAAGTGTTTCTCTTAAAGGAGAAGACAGGTGAGCTATCATACAAACAAAGGAAAAGAAAGAGCCGGGGAAAATATTACCTTTTGGCAAAAATGCTGTGATTAAGCATGCAATGCCTGCCACTATTGCGCTCGATATAAAGAGAGGGCGCCGGCCGATACGGTCGATTGTCAGTAAGATTAAAAAAGCTGCAGGCAATTCCATCACTGCTGAGATAAAGAACTCCAAATAAAGGTTTCCTTCTATGATGCCCAGGCGCAAGACAAGCCCTTGATAAACCACTGCACTTGTGAACCTTAAAAAAGCAGAACAAAAACATAGAAACAGCAAAGAATTCAAAACACCTTGGCTGGTGTGGGACAGCCCGAACACTAGAGGGGTAACCCAATGTGAACTTACCAGGCATACATGAGGATAAGAGTGATTTTTCTCATCTGTGGAGTTCTAACCAGATCTAGAATAGATGGATTGCTAATCTCGTTGTCACAACCTGTGATCTGAGTAACAGAAGTAGAGAGAAGTCATGCTATCACTAAAATAAAATGATTACAGGGAGGTGAAAAGGAATATGCTCCTAAATCACAGGCAAACAAGTGGGTTGAATGAAGCTCTCTTCCATTTTGTAGGCTTTGAACCACTCATTATGCACTTTTTAAAAATAATTCTCACAATAAAATATCACTGTGTAGTAATTCCAGTGGTAACTGATACCCACCATGGGTGTTGAGACGTGGAGATCACCAGGAGGGAAGGAAAATGATCGTTTTTAGTGCTCTAATATAAGGTATCACCCTACTTTTACATCTGTGTATTTTACCATCCAACCTTATTTCTTACATATGATGGGCTCATATAAAGCAGGGGTCCCCAACCCCTGGTCCATGGCCCATGCCAGTCTGTGGGCTTACACCTACCCTGATTCTCTCATTAAATAACTCACTCTTGTTTGGAACCATTTTAGTGAATCTTGATGTTGAGCAAACAAGGCAGTGACAGGCAGCATTGATTCTAGCTGTCTTGTTCCAGTGACATCTTCCCCAGGATAGTGGGGAGTTCATGCATATGAATAAAGTGTGTCCAGTAGTGTGCAACCTCCCCCGCCAAAAAAACAAGGCCAAGTGGAGCATTATTGGATAACTGATAAAGTAGAATGTGTACCTTATATCCATTCTGACAGTATGGAAAAGGAGTGTGCTGGATTTTGCTGGGTGATACCCACTCTCTACCCCATCCTTGAATACTGCTATATATGAAAAAGCATTTTATACAATTTACAAAACAGATTAATTTTAATCTCCCACCCACACACAGATAGATTGACAAATGCTTAACTTCTACATTAATTGAAAAGGTGCTTTGGTGCAAATTTTAACAATTAATTTGTCTCGCAGACTTCAGTGAATCTACTCTAAGCATGTGTGTGTATGTTTGTGTGTGTGT